AACCTTCTAGTTTTCCGGCTTTCGGCTAGTGACTTTCGCATCAAAATTCTCACGCTGTCGTACGTTTCCGAGATAATGATTTTACCTACCAAAGCTTTTATGGGGCCGTGCGTGTTACCCACGGATACGGGAAGGCTGAATTTAAATATGCGGAGTCACACTTTGATGTGGAACGTTATACTAAAATTTCAGCCGCCTGGCTTCTGTGGTTTCCATGGTAATGATTTTACCCGTCAAAAATTTTGCGCGGCCGTGCCTGTTACCTGCGGACACAGAAAGATTGCATTTGATTTTTCTGGGTTGCACTTGATCAAGGGAAACGCCCACAGATTTCAGCTTCCTAGCTTGCGTATTTCCCGAGACAGTAGTTTTACCCACCAAGGCTTCTACGGGGCCGCATTTGTTACCCACATGTACACGAAGGCTGAATATAAATTTGCCGGGTCACACGTTGGCGGGGAACATTCTACCAAAATTTCAGCCACCTAGCTTTTGTGGTTCCCAAGTTGAAAGTGCGAGACAAAACCCCGGGCACACATACACAGACAACCCCGTGACAATATGCATTTTGTACTGTTGTTACACAGCACAAAACGTATAAAAAGGATATTCCCTGCCCGCATGCGATCCAAAGATTTCAACTCAGTCCCTAAGCACACCTAGATAATGTCTGAACATGTAAAAGTTCAGTGAGAAGTCGTTATAAACTTTCTACATCCGGGAACAAGATAAAACAGGAACTGAAATTTTTTACGGTGATTTTTTATATTCATGTGCAATTCTGGATGTTCAAATTTAGTTTTGACGCAAACCTAAGTCTTACGCGCGGCGTGCGATAGTCTTCGCGAGAATTTTACCAGCTCGGGGATAGGAAAAGTTAAGAAGCTAAAACTTCAGGAGAGTGTTTACTGTTCACATGCGACTCAGAAAATTGTTTTTACGTACTATTGGGTTTAATTTATGGTCACGTGGAGGATTTCGCATGAAAACTATTAGCTCAGAATAGGAAATTTTGAGATCAAATTTTAGACAATTTTTTAGCGTGCGCGTAGATTTATATCCAGCTTTAGCGTACGCCTGCTTCTTATGCACGTAAAGACATGTGAAAATTGAAACTGAAATATTTTCAACTAGGCAGCAAGATAGTCTAAAATATTCTAACCTTTTTTAAAATATTCCTTGGCACTGTATCTATCTAAAACACACAAACCAGTTTTCTTGACCAACTGTATTACTTATACGTATGGCAAGGTGAAAATTGAAACTGCAAAATTTCTCAACTTCAGAAGTAAATACAGTTGAAACGCGCCAGGCTTGCTAGTGCGATCATATGTCTTTACACCAGACCTGAAGTACTCAGGTCAATAACTGCATGGATAGTTGCTACTTTACGCTTGCCTTTTGTGTTAACTAGCGAAAATCATCGTAAATTTTGCATGAAGTAAATGAGCAATTTCCATTTAACGGTCGTTCTTTGAAAGTTAACTTAGCTATTCAGTGAGCAATTTTTCTGCCATAACTTTAAGTGCCTATACGTGAGAACCACATATACCTGAAGGCTGTATTTGAAATATTTAAGTTATATCTGGACAGGGAATATTCCCCTAAAATCTCAGCTTTTTAGCCTTTCTGGTTCCTGAGTTAATAATTTCACACTAAAACTTTCACAGCCCGCACGTGAGCGCCCCACGTGCTTGGGAACCTGAATTTGAAATCTTTAAATTGCATGTGGACAAGGAACGTCCTCTTAAAATTTCAGTCTTCCAGTTTTTCCAGTTGGCGATTTTCACGCCAAATCTTCTAAATGCTCATGCGTGAGAACCACGCATACCTGAAGGCTGAATTTGAAATATTTAAGTTGTATTCGGACGGGAACAATATCCCGAAATTACTGCTTTCTAGCTTTTCTGATTCCCGAGTTAGTAATTTTCCCGCCACTACTTTCATACGTCTTCATCTGAGTGCGCATGCCAGGAAGCTAAATTTGAAATCTTTATCTCATACATCCACAGAGAATATCCCTGCAAAGTTTTTGCCCCTTATCTTGTCTAATTCCCGAGATCGCTTTCCGGCCAAAAATTTGCATATTTTTTTAAGACGTTCGTACGCTGCACCAGGTGCAGTCGGGCAATGATATTGAAATGGAAGAGTCGCTCATGGTGTGGGCACCCATTTCCAAAGTTTCACCCGTCTAGCTATTCTGGTTCTCGAATTGAGAAGGGGTGACAAAAATTGCGAATACACAGACACAGAGATACACACAAAGACAGCCTCTTGCCAATACGCGTTTTTTTGCAATTTGCACATGTGCAAAAACGCATAATTTTTGCAATTTGCATATATGCAAAAGCTCACAAAAACCAAAAATTTCAGAATTTTCCATCTTGATTTTCGTTCACGTCTCTATATTAAAATGCGCTAACTGCTTTTCGCAATTTCCTACGTCACATTCATGTAAAGAAATTTGAAAATTTTTAAATTTTTCAATTCGGATAATAGACAGGCTAAAAAGTCTAAACTTTTCTGCGTGATCCACAGCCGTACTCTGTTCTATACTACGCTACAAGAACCAAGCACTTTGCATCACAAAGAAAAAGTATACTCTGCTATAAAGAGTACACTCCTAGTACACACTGCAACTGGATTTGAATTATTTTCTGGGCATCCCTATGTGAAGCAATGAAGCAAGAGCTGATTTTCGTTAAAGGGTCATGTTCATGTCTCGAGAATGTTCAGGAAAGTTGAAATTTTATGAAAACTCTCGTTGTCCAGCAGAAAGTGGATGAAAAAACATACATATACGCATACATACACAGACACACACACAAATCCACACTCACATAACGGCATCCCCGTACATAGCAAGGTTTTTATACATTCTTGCTGTACAGCGCTAATAGCGCTGCTACAATGAGCAAAAACGCATATTGTCGCGAGGCTTGTGATGTGTGTTAGTAAGTGTTTTTCTGAATGTATGTGTGTGCACGAACTTTTTCACCTACTTTTAATTCAGACCAGAAAAGCTGCGAAGCTGAAATTTAGCCAGCTTACTCCCAGCATACGTTACATCCTTACAACCTGAAATAGTCGCTCACGTAAGTCCAAATTCCACACATGGGCGCTGAAAATATATGCAAATTTCGTGGTTCGAAAGCATTTTCGAGAAGCAGGCAAGCTAAAGGCCAAAATTTTACATTGATGTTTCCTATCCATGTGTGAATTAAATATTTCAAATTTAGCTATAGCGCGAATCCAATCACGCGAACAGCCACGTCAAAGTTCGCAGTCAGCATTGCGACAATTCGAAAACTAGCCGAAAGACAGCATCTGAAAGTCTGTCAGGAAATTAATGTCTATCTAGGAAATTACAAATTACACCGCGACCTAGAAATTTATATCATTTGCACACAGAAATTTATGAAATCTATGTCAGAAATTTATGTCATCTGCACTTGCACCACGACCTAGGCACTTCAAAAATTTTTGTAGCGAAGTGTCGTTGCGCTTACCGGACAAGTTGTGAGGCTGTAACTTTGCCAATTTGTCCTGTATTCACGTGTGATCCAAATGCAGCTTTGAGGTTAAAGTCCCTTCATGCGGTCACATAACAAATACTCAGTTTTATAGCAAATTCAAAAGCGAGTGCACTTTGCAAACTTCGTAATCCTGCGCGTTTCCAAACTTGCATTTTTCAACGCATGACCGCTCACCGGTAAAACGATCGGGCTTCACTCAAAAACTGTTAATTATGCATGCTGGATTTTCATGTGGTTCCGAGATGCAAAATTACGACTCCAGCCGATGTTCTTTTCCGGCTGTATATAGGAAAAGGCCAAAGCAGCCAATACGCGACCGCGTGTTTGTCGTTTCAGGAACCATTTGTGCTATTAACGGATTGACACGTAATCGCAACGATAAACCTGGTACGTGGCAGCCGGGGTTGCATTCTCAAAAGTGCAAAAACTGTACAAAAATTTTTAAATGTTTTCTAGCAGCAACAAAAGAGCTTCCTTTCCTTGCTTTTCAAATACCTAAAAACTTTTTCCTTTTTTTTTTTTGAAAAAATAGTAGCTATTGTACTGCCTAAAAAATTAATCCATAAAGATGCTAAAGCGCTGATTAATGACTGAGTCATACGAAAATAAAACCCAGGCTGGAACGCACCGGCGGCCCCGTGAGATCATAGGTTTTTGCGCCCGACTTGAAGCACTCAGGTCATTAACTGCATGAATGGTTTTTGTTTTACACCTACCTTTTGCTGCCACTAGCATAAATTACTACAAATTTTGCATAAAGTAAATGCACGATTTCCATTTAACGGCCGCCCTTTAAAAGTAACCTAGCTGTTCAGTGAGAAATTTTTCCGCCAAAACTTCTAGGTGCGCATACGTAAGAACCAAGCATACCTCAAGGCTGGATTTGAAATACCTATGTTGTACTCAGACAGAGAACATTCCCTTAAAATTTCAGTTTTCTAACTTTTCTGGTTCCCGAGTTAGCAATTTCCCTGCCAAGACTCCACATACCCATACGTGGGTATCCCACGTACATAGAAAGCTGAATTTGAAGTCTTTAGCTAACAAATGCACAGAAGATATCCCAACAAAGTTTCATCCCCTTAACTTGTCTGGTTCCCGAGATTGCTTTTCTGCCAAAAAATTTGCATATTTTTTTAAAGCCTACGTACGCGACACCCAAGCGTCCGCGTGGATGATATTAAAATGGGAGGGTCGCGCATTGTATGGGCACATACTTTCAAAGTTTCAGCCTTCTAGCTTTTCTGATTCTCGAGCTGAAAGTGGCTGATAAGAAGTGCGAACACACAGACACGCACATACACATGCGCACGCACACATACGCACACACACACGCTCACACACACACACACGCACACTCTCATACACACAGCCTCTTCCCAGTATGCGTCTTCGCAATTTGCATGCATGTAAAAACGCACAAAAATTTTCAACTTTGCGCAGGGTTTGAGGCATAGTGTGTTGCGGCCTCATATTCATTTCTTGTCGGGTGATTGCCTTTAGGTACGATATCAGACGAACAGGATATATTATTGTGACCAGTATAATCGAAGATGACGATGTGCTGAGGCCAGCAGTTGTGGAGGCTGTATTAGGCCTGTGGAATCTAATTCAACAACTTACTGTTGAAGGAAGAAATGATACTGCTTTTGATTATTCGTCAATTTGTGTTAAATTTCCAATATCACCTGAATTTGATGAAATACTCGCAAGCATTCTGTTGCAAAATTCGTCCAGGTAACTGCCTGCTGATTTGTTTTCCTGGAAACATTCACTTCTAAATTGGTACAACAGAATGGCAAGCATGGAAAAGCAGAATTCACAGTGCCTTATAAAGTGATCCTTTCTCATTGTGACCGCAGGATAAACCAGCATTCTGCTAGCCGACTAGCACGTCACCATCAGGCTTAGTTGTGACCTTTCATGCTCTAACCCGCGCTTCTTTAATTAGTACCTCTGCTTGAACAACGTGCGCGTTTTTAGAGGTCGCCAGCATAGTCTCCTATTTTCTCTTGGATGTCATTCACTAATCTTCGACGTCAACGTAATTAGCAGCATATTTTGTCCACCGCAATTTACTTTATGCGTAATCCAGCTATATTGCGCGTGACGCTTATTTGCCGGAGAGTCTAAAGGTTCGCATGGCCATGAAAAGGCACGTCAAGCATTTTTAGATACGTAGCGTTTTCTGCACAGTCGCCGCTTGTCGCTCAACTTTCGTCAGTGCCAACGCTCCGTGTCATTATTTCCAACACAGTGACGTTCAGAGAGGCAAAAGTGGTTCTTTTGGTTCGATACTTTGAAGAAATCAGCGATGTTCTAGAATCTTTGTCAATTAGCACCTCTTCTTTGCTCAGTCAGTGACTGAGGATTGTGGCGCATATTGGTTCTCTGACCACAACGGACGTAATTTCAAATTCTTCATCGTCCTTCTGCAATCTTTTCCAGAGTATAGCAGCATCCTTCACCACTTTCCCCTCGATATGCGTATTTTCAGTCCCACTTCCTTATTTTGTGATTGCTCTTCAGCACCTCATCTATCTTATGAGGGCTGCTTGCTATGAGAAATAGATCATCCAAGAAGCGTAAGTGACGTAATTCCCTGTCACTAATGTCAATCAAACTTACCAAACCAGCTTACGATATACCATCTAAGTCAGTAGTTGAGAAGTTTGAAAAATATCAGATCAATCTGCTTCACTCTCCTCTCTATCGGTATAGAAACGGGATAGAGAAAAGTGACATGTGTTGCCGAGGAGCCTAAAATAACTTTGTAAGAAACTTTCACCTAAGAACATCAAATTTTTCATCTGTAAGAACTCATAGCACATCACTTAGCTCTGCGCTGTCGAATACTTTTTCAAATTTGATGCAACGGAGATGGAGGTAAGAAAGTTCTTTCTTGCGCGAGTGGTTTAAAGCAAAAAAGTGGCTGAAGTTACTGTGGTAACCTGCTCGGTCCTTCGACTCTTCATCGAGAATTACTGTCACTTGATTAATGATAATGATTGTGAACAGCTTACAGAAGTGAGATCAGAGAGTAGTTTACTATATCTTTCTTTTCATCCTTTCAATTGCTAAGTACCTAATACTGCAGCCAAAAGTTCACTAAATCTAAAATGATGAGAGCTTTGAAAATCTCACATCATCTGCATCTGATGAGTTGCAATTTTTCGTAGCAGTCAGATTCGTTACCCCACTTGCATTTTTATGCGTCTTTGCTTATATGCAAATTGCAAAAACGCATATTGCGAAGAGGCTGTGTGTGTGTGT